TTTACCTTCTTTCATTTCCCAGATTCTGGACTTTATCTATTGACAGGTTTTGATTTTTATTTTGATCTATTTTGAATTGCGTGACACTGAAAACCAGTAGTATTGACTAATACAGTAATTTCAGGAGCTTTATCTACTGGTCAGCAGAATTACCGTAAATCCTCGAATCAGCGCCCCCCTCAAATAAGCGCCCCCTTCGAATAAGCGCCCCTCCTATCGGCCGAAATTTAAAGTAGGCGCCCCCCTCCCCTCCCTCCTCATTTTGTGGAAGAGTAATGAGACAACAAGAGATGCATGGTTTTCGTCATGTATTAGATTTGTACATTGTTTTAGTTTGTGAACACGTTAACTGAACACGTTGAACACGTTAAGTACTAACGGTGCTGCGATTAAAACTTTAGGATCACCTTTTTATGTCAATAAACAGCTTATGTTGTTGTTTACGCGTAGATGATGGATTTAAAAAAAATGATCATGTCAGGCCACGATTTGGGAAAAATTAAATAAGCGCCCCCCTCGATTAAGCGCCCCCGTCTTCTCCTAAAGTTGAAATAAGCGCCCCGGGCGCTAATTCGAGGATTTACGGTACTCCAAAAAGGACATCATTTGCATATCATGTGCATAATCTGCACCGCCTCGAATTAGTACACTGGACAAAACTGGTCTGGATCGACATTTTACAACAAAAAATTAAAACAAGCTAAGCGACGCAAATAATTTTGTGATTGTCTTATTTTAATCAATTCCATACTTCGGAAGATTCTTTCATATGGATCACGCAAGGAAGATTTGCGTTACAACGTATCCAAATTTGCTAACTGAATCACAACAACAATTAAGCTATCTCTTAATGAAATAGTGTTTCGTTTCCGGAAAGATATTGGAAGTCCGAGGAGGGCCGGGGTTTTGATATATTCTCCATGAGAAGTATCGGGGTGTGGGGGATTTGTGGGCATGTCCAGGCCCGAGGTTTGGGAGGTATTGATCCGCTTACTTGTCGGAGTCTGGTTTTTCGTTTACGCGAGGTGTGGGACATGGACAGTAGGCTGTATAACTAGTGTCTATTTGCAGAAGGACGCGAAGGGTACGAAACTACAACTAAGTGCTAAAAAATAAGAAGTCCACCCATACATGTCCCTCTTCAGTGCGACGATGTTTTGGCTGCTGTTTTCGCGTTCGTTTGCCCGTGTGCTGGATACGGACTGGGCACGATTATCAGCCGCTGTTCGGGAAAGGGGCCCGCGGTCTTCCCTCCACGAACTAAACTAAAGTGTGGATGGGACAGGCGACAGCGGCGGAAATCGAGTTTGTTGGATCTGTCAGCAAGGAAAATGGAAAAGAAGGGTGTGATACGCAGGGTAATTGAAAAGCAAAGCCTGGTGTTATGGAATTTGATAGATAGGCATTTCTGTACTGGTAAGTATGGTATTGAAAATTGATGGTACAGTGGAACCCCGCCTCACGACTACCCCGTTATTACGGTCACTTTATTCTGACCCGAAAAAAAGCTCAGTCAGTCATTTTCTTATTTAAAGAACCCCTTTACCACGACCACCCCGTTCATACGACCAATTTTCCTTGGCCCGAAGGTGGTCGTATTAACGGGGTTCCACTGTAGTCGTGTTGTAGTCCAGTTTGTTGTCAGGTTTATTTTCACTGAGTTCGAGGTTTTTTGAAGCATAAAGTTAGATGCAATGATCTGCAAATTATATTTTTTTATTAAAACATCAACATCCTTTAAGGTTTTATGGTAAACTCATTTGCTTGTAAAATATAGTTAATAATTTAAAGTTTCACAAGGTGGTGATGTATTGTAAATATTTTTTTTCACGTATTTTTTCATACAACAATAACAGGTCACTTTGTATTCACAAGTGGTAGTGAATAGGTGAACTAAGAACACAATGAGAGATTGTAATTAAGCTGTATAACTATAACTACATTTTAGGGTTTATGCAACAATTTCAGTCTCATGGTTTTAAGTGTAGCTTTTTTTCTTTATCTATTTAAGATAAAATAAACGTTAAGAATAGTTTGCAACACAGTAACACAACAGTGACAATATACCACTGTTTACAATTAACAGGTTCTTAAATTCCAAATATGTCTAAGTTGTATATTATGAGTTATGGTTTTCAAGAAAGGTTCTGTTTTGTTTGTGGTGGTGTTGTATGTAGTTTTTGTATAGTCAAGCCTAAGGCAGTACAAATGCAAATGATTTGAATAAATTGGGGTCATGGTCCACATGTTTCTGTGGTTAAAATATGTAGGAAAGAAATCATAAGNAGTTCTGTGTTGAACTCGTTAACATAACATCTAAGTTCTAAATTTCAGTTGATTGTACAGTCTTTCCAGTGTATTTTTGCAAAACTTGCAAAAGTGATTTAGGAGAGAATTATCGCAGGAATTGTTGACAAGTGGCACAAAAATATGGATGTCTGCAAAAACCTTATTTTTTGTTTTGTTTTGTGAAATGCACTTTGAAATATTATGTGCATGAGACATAATTTGCATATATTAACTGCCAAACAATATAAATTTGTCTCTGTTTTGATCCAACAGTTAATGGCTGTTGTTCACTTATCTCATTTGTGATGTCATTGTTGGTCTTATACTGCAGCTGGAGGGGAAGTTTCTTCAACACTGCTGCTGTAAATTGCTGAGAGCTGTAGTGGTATTTGTCACAATTAAAAAGGGTCAGGAGAACTTTTGTGATCAAAGTTGTCATTGTCTGGGGAGTGCCATCTGGCTTTAAAAGACACAAGTTACAAACATATCCATGTTTGATTTCATCTGGTTTGAAGGATTGTTGACAACAGGGACACTTGCTTGAAGGATCCAATTTCTTGTTTCTGCATTTTGGATTGGGGCAGCTGTCATATATTATGATGTTTTGAATACCAACAATTGTTCCACTCGAGAATTCTTCTTCATCTTTGTACAATATGGAGATCAGCAGTTGTTGAGTTCTATTAATTAAAATGGTATGTATAAATATCCTCTTTTCAATGATGAAAAGTGTGGCAATAAGTTTGTGTAAGAAACGATTTGTAAGTTTGTGATGCAGTAAATTAAGTCATTAAGATACCTTGATTGTTGTTTCTGTTGTTGATGAAAGAACAGTCTTACTCTTGAAGGTTTAGTCTGTACAGATGAAAGGATTATAGTGTCTCCTTTTGATACTGGAAGGTCTGCATGCCTTTTCTATCCACAGGGAGACTTGCATTTTTCCCGTTGTGTCCCTCACATGGATTTTTTTGAGTGTTAAGGTGTTGTTTTTCACCTTGCAAGGTGGCTCTACCTAAAGATGAAGGTGAGAATTAGTTACTGTAAATATTGAGTTATTTCATATATTATTAACAGAGCATGTGTAATGGTATTATTTACTTGATGGTATTTTGAATCAGTTTGGTTGTAGTTTGCAATGTTATTTAGCAATTAACACTTATTTCCAAATTGTTGCACAGAGACATAGTTATTTTAATTTGTAGAGTGTGTGAAAAGGGAGGGTGGTCAAATGCATTCGCGACTAAGTTATACTGAGATACCCTAGGTTATGTTGCTTGCAATAAAGTAAAAATGCAGAAAATATGGGTGGCTGAGGGTATAAGTTACAGGGCTTGAAAAAAGCGTTGTGCAGTTGTCTGAGACAAGTAGATTTTCCTGCTGGGTGAGTAACTTTTCATTCTCAGTTGGCTGCTGGGCAAGGAATTGGGGAAGTTGTCTACATTAAGTAAATCATTGAAAGTGTAAACTAAGAGCCACCCAGGGCAAGCAAATTTGAGAGCTACATGTACTTGTCCCAAGGCCAAAGTGGAATTCATGTTTTTTGGTGTGCATTGAAGTTAGAGTGGTCTCTTTTGTCCAGCTCTTGTTTAGCAATATGTTAAAAAGTCAGAAGTATAGGAGAATAATGAGGGTATTGGTAGCACAGTGATAAATTAGTGTCAATATATATAGGTGAGGTTTTTACTTAGTACCTCAATTGCATTAAATCACCTTTGTTTTTCTTCAATTGATATTCTTCTTTTCTTAGGAAGAAGGGATACCTCTGCAAATGAAGTTACTGGAAGTTCTTCTTGTTGTAGAACGGCTTGTTGGAGAATATCTTCTTTAATGGCAAAGTTTGGAATGATGAAGACAACAGACTTGTTATTTACGATGAGTGTTGCTTTTCCATCTCTCTCTGATATAATGTAGTTAGAAATCATCAGGCAGTTTTGTTATGAAAAGTACTGTTTTGCCAATATTTCACTGTAAATAGTGCATTCCATCATGCACGTGTTGTCTGACAGGAGTGTTGACAGTGGCAACATATTTTGATGTTTCAGTTGTATCTTGAAAGATTGGTTTGTCTTTGGTTTGTGTTCCCTCTTTTTTAGTCAAAAAAGCAGATAATTCTTGGAAAGTTGTCATCTTCAAAATGAAATGTAAAAGAAAATTAGTTAATTATTAATCTGTAAGGTTAGTCTTATATCCTTTTCAATATGAAATACTTCATATAGCTGAGTTGACAATGACTGTGCAACATAAGTGTTTCAAAATGATATGTAGCAATATGAAAAAGTATGATGACTGGTGGCAGTTAAATAACTTTTAGTTGATGAAAGTTTGCGATGCTTTAGTGCAAAGAATGCAGAAGTCACAGGTTTACGTTACTATTTTTTTTCCTTTCTTTATTTGTTCTGAAATAGAGTTAGGTTCCCTCAGGGAGTGGTAAATTACTACTAGCTATGGTTCTTATCATTATTGTTTTGTACACTTTTATACTTGATCTTTTTGAAGTAGCTGTATGTATATAAATAATGTATTTGACATGGTTTGGGAAGACTGTCTATGGTGATGATAGTGATGAAATAAAACTAATGTAATTCATCACAGTAGGTTTTTAAGGCGTTCCATTTCACTTATTACTTTCTTTGAAGTTCTGATTGCTTTTTCAGTGAAGTCTATTAATGCAAGACCTGTCAATGACTTAACACGACTTAATGCAATATAAGCTTGACCTGGCTTGGTGCATTTATGTCCCAAATCAATGATGATGTGGGATACCGTCATTCCTTGACTTTTATGAATAGCTATAGCCCATGAGGGTAGAAGAGGTAGTTGAGTTCTTTGTATTTCTGTACCTTCTTTACCAACAAATTTTGTGGTAAATGGTTTTAACAACACTGAATTGACATCGGAAGTTTGAAGAACTTTTGCCACGTTTGGATTATCAAATTTGATGTAAACACCAGAGGGCATTTTCTGGCTTTCGGACCAAACAATGGTCTCAATTGTTCCCTGAGCTCCATTGACAAGACCCTCTGTGGTCATTATGTTTCTGAGGAGCATAACCCTTGTACCAGGGACAAGTGAAAGTGTATGTGGTAGACCTCCACATACTGAATCATCAGTTGGTACAAGGTTTTTTGGTACCATATCATTGTTAGTGGTAGAGTCTATTGCTTCAATAATGGTTACTTCTGAGGAGTTTGAAGCTGCAAGTTCATTTAATTTGGTGTTGTTGTACTGTCTGCACTGCTTTCATGTTGGATATAATCTTAATGCATTGATGAATGGAGGTTTACTGCAGCCCACTGATATTCTTTGAGATAGTATGGTAATGTCCTAGACTGTTTGTTCTCCAGTTCTTACTCGGTTTAGCAGTGCAGCATAATTGGGATCCTCTAGTTGTCTGACATTTGCTGTTAAAAAGAATGGAGCAATGTTTTTTATCCATAGATTTGATATTCCACTGAAATTTGTTTGGTCAAATACATAGTATGCAGCCACTGGTTGAAGTTGGTAAAGGTCACCAAAGGTAATAAGTGAACAATTTCCGAATATTCCAGACTGCTGTACACATTTGATTTCTTGTAGTCTGTCATGTATACAGTGGAAGATGTGATCTGATACCATACTGATTTCATCTATTATCAAATACTGTAGATCTAAATAAACAGTCTGAAGATGGTCTCGCTTGGCATTACTAAGTGGTAAATAGTTGTTCATGAGCTTAGATTTGGGATGCTGAACTGGTAGGTTAAAAGCACCGTGAAGTGTTTTTCCTCCAATTCCATATGCAGCACAACCTGTTGGTGATGTGAGCATTACTGAATTTGTTCTAGTTTCTCTGATTATAAGTTCTTTAATTATTTTTATGAGGTATGATTTCCCTGTGCCAGCTCCTCCACTAATGAAGAGATAGAGAGGTTTTGTGGGAACCTTTTCAGCTGACTTAGTTGGACTTTTAGTTGATGTGATGTGGTTGTTGATAACCTGTAATATTTGGTTTTGTTCTTGTGTCAATGTTGCAATGGCAGTTAGATATTCACAGTCTGTCATTGTAAAGATGGATACATGTAGGTTTGCCAAGTCCTCTTTTAGTGAACAGTAAGATTCTGTTGAGTGGTTGGTTGATTCTTCTGATCGATGTAGGAATGTTCTACTTCATTCTGAGTGGGTTGCAAGAAATCATAATCTTTTCGTGCTTGGTCCTCAGTGTTCTCAATGTTTTCTTCCATGTGTGTTGTATTTGGTGTTAGGGAGGGTGCAATATCTATTTCACCTGATTCCATGGATCTTAATGATGTGTGCTGCTTTGATTAACTCATCGTGAATGTTTGCTTCTGAACATGCACTGGCATCAAATTGACTGCGTTTTGCTATGAAGGCATCATAGCATTGGTGTATGGATAAACAAATTCCTGTTGATCATTACGAAATGGCAGGAATGCATACAGTTTTGAGTAAAAATATTCATCAGTATCTGTATGCAGAGATAGCTTTGGCATTCTTAGACAAGCAGATCTCTTATGCTGTATTACTCTTTTTGTTGAGTATAGGAGCTCATAACATGGTTGCCTATGATTTGAATGTTGATTTGAACTGCATAGTTTGTACCATGAAACAAATGTTGCAAGGCTCATTTTGTCCCATTTATTTCCTTTTGGTCGAATTGAGTGGTAATCAGGTAATCCAGTTTGAAAAATATCTTCACTATATCATCATCTAGCTGTTGTCTCTCTGCATTTGATTTTAAAATTTGTGTCTCTTGTCTGGTTTTCTGCAGTTTAAGTATATTGTTCTCACTGATGATTCCACAAGTGGTAAGTTAATCATTCGATAAGCACTTCTTGAGCTGATATTTCATGATGAGATAGTACTACTGAACCTATAATATGGAGATACTTCCTCTGTAAGGAGTTTTCTGGAAGTGCATCAAGTGCTTTTGTGATTGCAAGTTTTAATCCTTGTGGTTCAGATTTGCAAATGTAGGTACAAATGTACATAGCAACACCATAAACACCTTGGATTAGCTGTATGTCCGTATTAGCTCTCCAGATTTTCAATATGTCAGGGTTGTATGCATTTATCATACAATCTGATGGTGTACATTTTGTAACATAAAACCTTGATGGGTTACCTTATCTGCATTTGTTTTAATTCTTGTCACTGCTGTTGGTGGCTTAGGAAAGTCAAATCTACATCTGTTGTACTTTTTTAGGCACGTCTTTGTATGATGGTGTGTTTGTAGAGTTTCAACCAGTGTTCTAAGATCAAGATCAGACTCATCAGGTATTGTTGTTGATACATACTTGTCAATAAAATCTGGTGCAAGAAGGCATCCTTCTTTTGTTTGTAGGTCTGGGCTGTCCTTTACCCACAAAAACATGTGAATGTGGGGACTACCTCTTAGCTGAAATTCACTGCACAAAAAGTAGTCAATGATATCACCGAGTGGTTTTGATTTTCCGTGTAGTAAGTAGTTCAGAAATGCTTGTTTTCTGCGGTTGAAGTGTTTTGCAACAAGCAGAGGATTTTCTCTCATTAGCTTCCACTTTTCATCTAAGCCAAGATCAGTATAGTTTTTTTTTTTTTTTGCTAAAGCATAGTATATAGCTCTTCCCTTTGTAGGTCAGCAGCTGATAATGTGATAAACCATGTTGGTTTTCCCACTGTTCCAACTCTTGCTAGTA